CAACATGGATGGGACTGGAGGAGATTATGCTAAGTGAAATAAGTCAAGCAGAGAAAGTCAATTATCATATGGTTTCACTTATTTGTGGAACATAAGGAAGAGCATGGAGGACATTAGGAGAAGGAAGGGAAAAAGGAAGGGGGGGAAATAGGAGGAGGAGATGAGCTATGAAAGACTATGGACTCCAAGAAACAAACTGAGGGTTTTAGAGGGGAATGGGGGGGGTGTTAGCGTGGTGATGGGTATTAAGGAGGGCATGTATTGCAGTGAGCACTGGGTGTTATATGCAAACAATAAATCATGGAACACTACATCAAAAACTAATGATGTACTGTATGGTGGCTAACATAACATAATAAAATTTTTAAAAAGAGCATATAAATAATTCTCAGAACTCAACATTAAAAAAACAAATTCAATAAAATAAATGACAAATACAGCAATTTCCCTGGAAATGATACACTGATGACAAATGAGCACATGAAAACATGTTCAACATCACTGGCCATTAGGGAAGTGCAAATTAAGCCCACCGTGAGATATCATTATACACCTATTAGATTAGCTCAAGAGAAAACAGTGACAATACCAAATGCTGACAAGGATTCAGAGACACTGGATCTTGCATGCATTGCTAGTAGGAATGTCAAATCATACAGTCAGTCTGAAAAACATTTTGTCAGTTTCTTAAAATATTAAACATACTTTACTATATGATTCAGCAATTTGTACTCTTGAACGTTTATCTCAAACAAATGAAACTAATGTTCCCACAAAAGCCTGTACACAATTATTCACAGCAGCCTTATTTGTAATAGCCTACAACTGGAAGCAACTAAAATGCCCCTTAATGGTGAAACAAACTGTTTCATAGTTTGTTGATATCATGTAACACTCTACAGAAATAAAAAGGGATAGCTATTAATGCACACAATGACTTGGATGGTTCTCAAGGTCATTATGCTGGATAAAAAAATTTCATTTTTTCATGCTAGGTGAATTTATTCACAAGACATTTTAAAATAAAAGTATAGGGATGGAAAACAAAGTAGCAGTTGCCAGCAACTGGGGATAGTCTGGGATGGCAGGGAAGAGGATATGACTAGAAGGAAGCAGCACAAGGGAGATCTTTGTAGTCATGGGATAGTTCTGTATTTTGATTGCAGTGGTGGCTACAAAACTACCCAGGAGATAAGATGACTTAGAAATATAAACGCAGACTGTGCCAGTGTCAAATTCCTAGTTTGGATATAGGATTATAATTAGGTAAGATGTAACCATTAGGGGAAGCTGCGTGAAGGATACACAGGACCTCTCTGTAATACCTTACAACTGCCCGTGACTCTATAATTATTACAAAACAAAATGTTTAATGTAAAAAATATTAGTATTGGAAAATGTTGTTAAAATTTTAATGTGCAGTTTGAATTAAAAAGGTGTCAATAGGGGCACCTGGGTGGCTCAGTC